AGTTCTCTAAATCCATATCCCTATGTGATTTATCAAACTAGATGCATGAAGAACACTATCATCAATCCTAGATCGATCAAACCATATTCCTATGTGAATAATACGATCTATTCTATCGATTTCGATCCGAAACTAAACCCGTATTCCTATGTAGTTCAGAATCTGAAATAATTGGCCAGGGGGTCAGCAAACACCAATCGAAGAAAGCACAAATCGATAAAACCGAAACAAATTCAAATCGCAACCAAGTTAGGGTTCAAACATACCCAAAACAAAAACGAATCCCTAACCCACAGTCGTGGATCTACTCACGGTTCATGGAAAAACACTGAGCAAAACTAGAAACAGAAAGAAAAGAGGGAGAAGAAAGACTCATGTCGACAACAATGCGTTCTTCACGTTCCAGCTCTCCTTCTTCTTCCCGAAATCCCGTTTTACTCCTATTTCTCTCACCAAAGCTCTCCAAAGTCTGTATAAAGTCTGCCCCTCTCCTGGGACGTCTGTAGAGTCTTTTTATAACCCCTAGGCGGCGCTCCCGAAGTCCTAGGCGGCGCTCCCCAAGTCCTACTCCCGTTCCAACTCTGAAAATACGAATCTGGGCTTTTTCTGGGTTTTGACTCGGACCGAGTCAGTAGTCTGACTCGACCGAGTCAAAACGAGATTATTAAGAATTCGGCCCAGCCCATTCTTCTGACTCGGGGTGTCTGACTCGGGGTATCTGACTCGGGCATTCTGACTCGGGGTATCTGACTCGGGGTGTCTGCCTCCAGCCGAATCAAGAAGGAAGCTCTTGACGTATTTCATCCCTTTAGCTCCAGATTGCTCCCGTTTTGGTCCAAATCGCGTCCGAGACCTGTAATCCTATAAAAACACAACCAAACCGAGTTTCGTGGCCTAACGCGCCAATAATGCCTACAAATGAGCATGATCCTCATATAAATCCTATAAAACGTCCATGAAATATAGAGAGAATTAGGAGTTATCACTCCCGTCCTCGTCCAAGCTGCTAGCTTCGATGTCCTCATCATTCCCTCCCCCTTCAGAAGATTTCGCCCTCGAAATGTCGTGACCTGCATCAAAAGAAGATAAATCAGTAACATTAAAAGTACTAGACACAGTATACTCACTTGGTAACTCGAGACGGTAGGCATTATCGTTGATCTTCTCTAGTATGCGGAATGGTCCGTCTGCTCTGGGGTTTAGCTTGGACTTGCGCTTTTCTGGAAAGCGTTCGGGTCGGAGGTGTAGCCATACCCAGTCGCCTTCTTTGAATTGGACATCCTTTCATCCCTTGTTTGCCTGGCGGGTGTATTGCTCGGTCTTGTGCGCAATGTTGTCTCTAACCTTTTTATGGATTTGCTTAACTAATTCGACTTTCCTTTCGCCGTCAAGGTTCGTAAACTCCGCATTCGGAAGAGGTATGAGATCAAGCGGCGTGATTGGATTGAAGCCGTAGACTATCTCAAATGGGGAGTGCTTAGTGGCCGAATGGACCGCTCTATTGTATGCAAACTCGATATGCGGTAAACACTCAATCCATCCTCCGAAATGTTTTCCGATAGTAGCCCTCAAAAGTGTGGATAATGTTCAATTGACTACTTCGGTTTGTCCATCCGTTTGAGGATGACAAGTGGTCGAGAAGACGAGTTTAGTGCCGACTCGTTTCCATAAGGTCCGCCAAAAATGGCTCAGGAATTTCGAGTCACGATCCGACACGATCGTCTTCGGAAGACCATGTAAACGCAGAACTTCCGGAAAGAAGAGATCCGCAATATGCTTAGCGTCATCGGTCTTAGCACATGGTATGAAATGTGCCATCTTTGAGAACCGGTCCACTACGACAAAGATGGAATCTGTTGGTTGTAATGCTCTAGGATGATCCGTGATATGACATTTTGACTTTGTATTGATTCATTGATTTATGAATGCGTTACATTCCCGTTATATGATTGGCATGTTTGTTATATTTCGGCATCCTTGAATCATTACAGAATGATTCTAAACACCCTGGTCAGTTATCATTGTGGGAACAATGATGAATTAAGACTAGCATGAGGTGTGATCGATGCATTGGATGCATTTCACAATCATGGGTACTCGTTGTGAACGAGTGACTGGTTGACCCGCATGAGATTGTCACATGGACAGAGTCATGACTTGAATCTCATAAAGCGGTTCGTTCTTGGATCCTCAGACCTGAGATGTCTAGAGTATCTGATATGAGGAGTGGCGTGTCTTGACTGCGTCAAACGTCGTCTTTAACCGGATGATTATAACGGCGTTGATCAGATACGTTCACGAATCATATGGAGATAATAAACATGCAATATGAGACTTGTCACCTCCTTAATAGGAGAGATATCGCTGGGCCCTCTCGTGGAAGTCGGACTATGAAAACGCGTGGCCACGCTATAGATGAAGTTGCATCTATTTTATTAGTCAATTTGCCAAGACGAACTTGAAGGGTGGCTCAAACCATGCCCTTGTTCAACATATGATATCGGGAGATAAAGGATCAGAACTCGAGCTGTTATTGCCTTGGTTAGATCACCTCTAACTCAATTCAACGTGGGTGGTCATGGCGTCTTGCTAGAGGCTAACCATGACTTGTGGTTCGGGAAAGGTTCCTAAAGTCACTACCACTTAGAATGGGCCTACAGGGTCACACACCATTAGGGATGGACTTATATGTGAAGTTTCGGAAAGGAAGACTTGGATTTGGTCGGAAAAATCGTTTTCGGATCAAATCAGAGTGTCAGAACGTTTTCAGCCTTCTGACTCGGACCGAGTCAGTACTTGACTCGGACCGAGTCAGTTCCACGCGGGTCGAAGCCCAGAAAGTGTTTTGGGCTTGGCTGATGTTTTGACTCGGTCGAGTCAAAGTTTTGACTCGGACCGAGTCAATACTAAATGGGCCGAGTCAAGAGTTGACAATGGGCTTGGGCTGATTCGTTCTGACTCGACCGAGTCAATACTCGGAAAAAGTCTTTTTTCACAAGGATTAGGGTTTCTAACTTATAAGGTGGTGTTGGACGCCGTCCTAGGAGGAGAACTCAATTTTCAGAACCCTAAGACAGATCTAGAACACAAGAAAATCGTTTCTTTTGAGGTTCTAGTTCCCGGGATTCGATCCCAAGTCTTGGAAACCCTATTCACTTCACAGATCCTAGCAGATCAGTTCCAAAAGCGTTTGGAATCCTTCCCGTCGGTGTGGATACGTGTAGAGGAGCTGTACTTTCAGCTCTTGGTGATTAAAACAGGCCCTGGATCGATTGCTACTTTCAGATCTTCAGGAAAGAGGTAAGTATTCGATTCCTACGGTGATATACACGATCTGTCAGGGTTTTACGGATGATTTTGGTTGCGTGTGACGTTTGACTAGGTTTAGATTATCCTTCCGCTGCATGAAACCTAGTAAACCAAACCCTAGATCGATATGATCGCATGCTAGGAATCTGTAGCCCAAAACTCCAACAGAATCCTTATGTTGTATATTTGGCATCCCAAGCACGAAGTCCATCGAAATGTCTACCCAAGGGTGGGTGGCAATCGGTAGTGGCATGTAAAGACCATGAGGTTGTACTCGAGATTTTGCCTTATGACACTCGATACACTTAGCAAAAAACCTCTGAATGTCCCTCCTGAGGCGTGGCCAATAGAAATGCTCTTGTACAATGGCCAACGTCTTATCTACTCCGAAATGGCCAGCATGCAAGTGCGCCTCCATGAGCCTCGCGGAGTATGACATCTCGCATCGACCCTTGTGGGATGCAAAGACGTATTTCTCGAAAGAGGTACCCATCTTGTAGAAAAAATGGACCATAGGCACCACGACTACACTCCTTAATGATGGATTCAAAGTCCGAATCAGTCATGTATTGTTCCTTAAGGAGTTCAAATCCAAGCATTCTGGCTTCCATGACTGATATCAACGCATAGCGTCGAGACAATGCGTCGGCTACGACGTTGTCCTTCCCTTTCTTGTACTTAATGATGTAGTGAAAGGTCTCGATGAATTCAAGCCATTTAGCATATCTCCGCTTGAGTGAAGTTTGTCCCTTGAGGTGTTTAAGGGTCTCGTGGTCCAAGCGAACGACAAACTCTTTGGCCAACAAGTGTTGCTTCCAAGTCTCTAATTCACGCACGAGCGCGTATAGCTCCTTGTCGTATGTCGGATAATTGAGAGCAGCCCCACTAAGTTTCTCGCTAACATAAGCGACGGGCCTCTTTTCTTGCATAAGGACAGCTCCTATGCCAATCCCAGAGGCATCACACTCAATCTCGAAGGTTTTGTCGAAGTTCGGAAGAACTAAGACGGGTGCTCGGGTGAGGCTGTCCTTAAGTGCCTCAAATGCGCAAACTTGATTTTCTCCCCACTCAAAGTTCACATCTTTCTTAGTGATGGCGGTAAGAGGAGCGGCTATACTACTGAAGTCCCGAACAAATCGGCGATAAAAGCTCGCTAACCCGAGGAAACTCCTCACGTGTCCAACTGTGGTAGGAGTCGGCAATTCTTTGATGGCTTTAACCTTTTCCTCGTCAACTCGCAAGCCTTTAGAGCTGACCACGAAGCCAAGAAATACCAACTCATCGGTACAAAACGAACACTTCTTCAGGTTCGCATAGAGGCTTTCCTTCCTCAAAGTGGTCAATACTTGCTCTAGATGCGAATGATGGTCCTCGGTGGTTCGACTATACACGAGTATGTCGTCAAAGTAAACCACGACAAACTTTCCTATGAAAGTTCGCAAGACCTGGTTCATGAGGCGCATGAATGTACTCGGAGCATTTGTCAACCCGAATGGCATGACCAGCCACTCCTAAAGACCCTGTTTGGTCTTGAAGGCGGTTTTCCACTCGTCGCCTTCTTTCATTCTCACTTGATGGTAGCCACTCTTAAGGTCGATCTTTGAAAAGATCGTGGCTCAGCTCAACTCATCAAGCATGTCATTGAGTCTAGGGATGGGATGCCGGTATTTAACGGTAATGTTGTTGATCGCTCAACAATCCACACACATGCGCCAAGTTCCATCCTTCTTGGGTACTAATAGTCCTGGAACTGCACATGGACTAAGACTCTCTCGAATGTAACCTTTACTCATAAGCTCTTGAACTTGCTTTTCGAGTTCTTTGGTCTCTTCTGGGTTCATTCGGTAAGTGGGTCGGTTAGGTAAAGGAGCACCGGGTACTAAATCGATTTTGATCCCCCGGATGGGTGGTAATCCTGCCGGAATCTCGTCCGGAAACACATCTCGGAATCGTTCAAGTAGTCGACTTATGGCGGGGGGACTGGGCAGGCAGTCCGTCCTTAGGTTCATGACGTCCTTAAAAACCATGAGAAGTACCGATTGTTCTTGACGAACAACCCGATCGACTTGACTAGCTTTAAGGTAGAAGTTCTTCTTCCTCGCTTCGGTGTCCTTAGCTAGCTTTAGTTGCATCTCATGCACTTGAGATGGACTATGGGGTGCGAGTACAATCTTCCTCTTGTTATAAACGAAAGAGTACTGGTTCGCTCGCCCATCATGGCTGACCTCTCGGTCGAACTGCCATGGTCTACCGAGTAGCATGTGTGAGTACTGATTCGCTCGTCCATCATGGCTGACCTCTCGATCGAACTGCCATGGTCTACCGAGTAGCATGTGTCCCGCCTGCATTGGGACAACATCGCATGTGACCTCGTCTTGGTACCGTCCGATACTAAATGGTAACTTGACTCGCTCGGTGACCTTAATTTCCCCACTGTTGTTTAACCATTGAAGTTTATAGGGGTGCAGATGTTTCTCGGAAACTAGGTCGAGCCTCTTGACCATATATGCACTTGCGACATTCGTGCATGATCCGCTATCTATAATCAGTCCGCAGACTTTCCCTTGGACGGTACAACGAGTGTGAAAAATGGTCTCTCGTTGGGCAGTTTCGTCCGGAGTAACTAGGGTGGTCAGAACACTCTCGTCACTAAGATTTCACCGCTATCGGGATATTCGATCTCCTCGTTGGGTTCACCAACTTCTTCCTCATCCATGGACTCATACTCTCCGTTTTCCATTATTATCATTACGCGAGAGTTTGGGCAATCTCTAGCCATATGTCCACGGCCCCGACACTTATAACAAATGATCTCTCTAGATCGAGTGTCCCTAAGGTTATCTACGGGTGGTTTCGGAGCTCGTGAAGCTTCGGGGACTTTTCCTTTATCCCGGAGATCACGCGAGACTTTAACCTCAGACGTTTCTTTCCTAGGACCAGATGAAGGCTTTGGTGAGTATGACGAGGGTCCTACTTGGGATCTTACACTACTTAGCCGGGATTGTTTCCTCTGATCTTGCTTTTCTATTTGAACGGCTAAATGTAGGAGTTCGTGGAGATCACGGTAAGGATGGCGCTCTACCTTACGAGCGATACGTTCTTGTAGTCTATCTAAGAATTGAGCCATCACCGTCTCCTCATCCTCTTCGAGCTCTAATCAACTCCTAATATGTTCGAACTCCTCAAAATATTCTTCCACCGGCCTAGCTCCTTGGGCTAGCTTCCGATACTTCCTTTAAAGTTCTCGGTGGAAATGCGGAGGAACATATCTCTTGCGCATAAGGACCTTCATCTCATGCCAAGTCCCAACTTGCTTTATGTGAGCTCGTCGTCGCTCGGTGGTTTCCCGATCCCACCAAGCTAGCGCATTCTCTGCTAATTGAGCAGCGGCATATTGGACCCTCCGTCGATCCGAATATGCATAACATTCGAAGATGTTATCCATACGGCGCTCCCAATCTAGGTATGCTTCGGGATCTACTTTCCCTACGAAGAGGGGCGGTTTAAGCTTAAGGTCGTTACTAGCCCTCTAGGTTGTCGAGGTCTTAGTTCTTCTTCTTCCTCGACATCGTCTGCCCACCTACGAGGTCTATCTCTCGGTCTAGGGTTCACTCTCCGTCTAGGTATCTCCTCATGGTCGGACTCATCGTCATCGACCCTAACCCTAGCTCTATGACCTCTCGCTCGCGGTCTCTCGTCATAGTCCGACTCCTCGTCATATATGACTCTCTCACGAGGTCTAGGTCGGTCGTTAGGTCTTTGTCTATGGTTTCCCGGGCGCTCGGGGTTTCTCTCATCCTCCCTAGCTCGGGCTCGGACTCTGGGGGCGATATCACTCTCATCATCACTAAGGGTCTCGGGTGAGTGCAGTGGATCTACCGGGGCTCGATTTCTAGGTTCCGTCTCTCTAATTGTTTGGGTTTCCGGTCTTGACCCTTCTAACTTAGAAATACGCTCCATCATTTGTTGTAGGGCTCGGAAAATCTCTTGGTTGCTAGACGACCCTATCTCCAATCCCTCATTGCAAGCATCGTGAGCACTCATGTTTATAATTCGCTCAAGTCTCGCAATATGCACGTAACATACTATACACGCAAACGAATCCCAATCAACGTGCAAGAGCGAAAATGATAGACGTGGATATCAAGGAGAAATCACTCAACGTGCAATAGCTATCAAACAAACAGCGAACGAATACGAAAGTGAGACACACACGTTCAAAGGATGTTAAACACGCAAACGAATACGAAAGTGAGACACACACGTGCAAAGCGAATCAAACACAACGTGCTAAGCAATGAACATGCGAACTTTCGAACAACTACGGAATGGAACGACAACAGTGATACGTGTGTATCGAGTCTAAAATCTATAACCCGATTCACAACTCACCGCAAGGATACGGATCGTCGTAACATGAGGTCGAACACGAGGACCGGTTGCTAAATCTAAATCCTAATCGAAGCTAAATCAAAGCAAGTGAGTGGAAGTGATGGTGAAAATATGTGGAAAGAATAGAAAATAAGGAAATAAAACAATAAAAGCGAGTAAACTAGCAATCTAAGATGACCGTGAATGTCGGGACCGTATTCGCGTGTATGGGTATATGCTAAGCATGCGAGAATCACGATATTGAATCTGTATTCGTGAATCGTCAAGCAACAAAGATAGAGAAACCACTCTCTAAATCCATATCCCTATGTGATTTATCAAACTAGATGCATGAAGAACACTATCATCAACCCTAGATCGATCAAACCATATTCCTATGTGAATAATACAATCTATTCTATCGATTTCGATCCGAAACCAAACCCATATTCCTATGTAGTTCAGAATCTGTAATAATTGGCCAAGGGGTCAGCAAACACCAATCGAATGAAGCACAAATCGATAAAACCGAAACAAATCCAAATCACAACAAAGTTAGGGTTCAAACATACCCAAAACACAAACGAATCCCTAACCCACAGCCGTGGATCTACTCACGGTTCATGGAAAAACACTGAGCAAAACCAGAAACAGAAAGAAAAGAGGGAAAAGAAAGACTCATGTCGACAGCAAGCGATCTTCACGTTCCAACTCTCCTTCTTCTTCCTGAAATCCCGTAAAACTCCTATTTCTCTCACCAAAGCTCTCCAAAATCTGTATAAAGTCTGTCTCCCTCTCTAGGACGTCTGTAGAGTCTTTTTATAAACCCTAGGCGGCGCTCCCGAAGTCCTACTCCCGTTCCAACTCTGAAAATATGAATCTGGGCTTTTCTGGGTTTTGACTCGGACCGAATCAGTACTCTGACTCGACCGAGTCAAAACGGGACTATTAAGAATTTGGCCCAGCCCATTCTTCTGACTCGGGGTGTCTGACTCGGGCCGAGTCAAGGCGGGAAATTCTTAACTCTTTCATCCTTTTAGCTCCAGATTGCTCCCGTCTTGCTCCAAATCGCATCTGAGACCTGTAATCCTATGAAAACACAACCAAACCGAGTTTCGTGGCCTAACACGCCTATAATGCATATAAATGAACATGATTCTCATATAAATCCTATAAAAACATCCAGGAAATATAGAGAGAATTAGGAGTTATCAAATCCCCCCAGACTTAAACCTTTGCTCGTCCTCGAGTAAAGAACGAAGGAATAAAATCTGCAAAACAGGGATGACGAACATCAAATAGCATCCTCATGAAACTCAAAAGTGAAACATCCGTCTAATGCTAGCTTCCTGTGAATCGTACCCAAACCGGTCTACTATGATCTTTCTACCAAAGACTAATCTACCTAGTCATGGGACTTTTATTGCCACCTAGAACCCGTTAGAATCTCTACAACTCACTAAGCCTATTTCTGAACCTATCCTTATCTCAACTTAACCTTTCCGATCTATGTTCTACATACCTGTATTTTTACCTTTTTGTAGGATTTTTCTATCAAACGCACGCATCTCGGGTTTCTAGGACGTTGAAGTCGAAGGACATCGGTTTTCTCTTTTTTTTCTTTTCTTTCTTTTCCTCTTTTTTTTTCTTTTTGATGCGATGTCCGACCCACAACTTAGACCCGAACCATCAATCGATGCACTCATATCCTCGAACGATTTTCGTTAACGGGATTTTGACAGCAGAGTGTCGAGATCCTCTATTTTTCCAAGGCATTTGTTGAACTAGATTTCATCGACCTGCAAGACTCGAAAAAGATTCTAAGCGAAACATATAACCTGGATGTAGTTGTTTCAACTCCGTAGGTTCCAAACAACAACCTCATCCCACAAACTATACATAGAAAGTCTGGAGAACTATCAATTCAACACGGTTCAACCACGCTCTACAAAGTCACTAGATCATCAAGATGTTCCTACTCTATCATTCCACAAATCCTCCAAATGATGTTCAAAACGGGTGTCCGAGGTATGCACGTGAACCTATATGAACCTATATCTATATGTCATATGCAATCATGCAAACCTAACAAAAATCGTCTATATGGAAAAAAGGAAAAAGAAAACATGAATGCAACTAATGCAAAGTGATATGCAAAAGTGAAAAATTTTCCTAAGTCTATATGCCATGACAAAATGCACCTAAACTAAATGCAATCCTAAGTAGATAGGCCTGAATGGATGAAGGATCTATCCACCCCCCAGACTTGAACCATACACCGTCCACGGTGTAGACTCTCGCCCGGAAGAATAGAATTGACAATAACGTATGAAAAGAACCAATAAGAGGGATAAAGAAGGCTTAGCTCTGCGAAATTCGTTCGCTCGCAACGAAGTTAACTCACGTCAAACGCAGGAGCTCTCACACACTCTATGAATTGGAACCTATCCAACGTTGTCTCTCGGAAGCCGATGCTCATCTCTCGTGTGCCGGTGTAAACGCTCATAGAACAACAAACGTTATCCGAACAAAAGCATAATAGCAATGCACTCCGAAAGATCCAAAATACAATCATGGTCTCTACTACCTACGCTACGAAGAAAAAGAAAAGTTACCTAATGTCGGGTTGCCTCCCGAGAAGCGCTTGTTTAACGTCATTAGCTCGACCTATCTTGCTCAAATGATGGGAGAGTCTGAGAGGCGAAGATAATCGATCTTTCGCCACCCTCGATGTTGAGCGTTAAGCGCATCTTTTAGTCCTCATGGATGCTTGAGCCTTCTATCCTTCTTGTGTTTCCAAACTTGTGACGGAGGTGGATCTTGTGGATGTTTGAGCGATGATTTTGCTCGTTTCGATCCTCTCTTGCTCATTACCCCTACTCGAGAACCTGTAATAGAAGGTTCAAACACGGATATAGGATTACGAATGGGATATGTACCTCTCTCCAATGATGGTCCTGTGTTCCTATCCGTGTATGTGTGTTTCTTTGTCCTTAGCCTTTGAGGTAGGGGCTTCATCTCCACCTTCGGGGCTTTCGCTAAACTCCAATATGCTTTATTTAGCGTCCCTGTGCTAAATGGTGGCTCTCTGG